ATGTGCGGACAGCGTGGCCTACGGCCGACCCTTGCCAGCCGTTCGACACTAACTCCTGAGCATTCTGACTTCACTGAACATAATTTAATATAACATAAACCTGATTGCTGAATTAACTTAAAAAATACTACTTTCGCACGATGAACTGAATAGGCCGTGGCGAGCGCGCCGTGCGCCGCCGACGGTGATAGGCCGTCTCTCGACCAATTCACTTTTTCCCTCGGCAACTCAAGACCAATTGAACATGAAACATCATTTGGAGGCTATTATGACATAAATCACACGGACAAACTTGACCAAAACAGAAACTAACATAGCATGACTTAGGGCGGCCCGTAGCCGTGCGCGGTATGCGCTGGCGTCGTCTGTAGGCCAATTCATGCTTTAAACAATATTTTGCCTCGACCAACATGGATCAACTGAGTATGAAATGATCTACAGTGACCAATTAAACATGAATTGCACGAGAGTTGCCGGGTAGAAAAAGACCTCACTCAGTCACGGCCAATACATGGCACTTCCGGACATATCATGGCCTTTCGTGAACTTGTTTAACATGAGCTTGAACAATTTAACACTACATGATCTTATTAACAAGAAGAGGTGCTGAAGGTGAGATTACCTTCTCTAAACGCTCGGCCGAAACGAAAGATAGGCCGGGATTCTTGGCCCCGTACACGTCCGGGTGTGCTTCACTATGCGCGCTTGCTTAAGCTTGATAGAACTCCTAAGCTCACTAAGATTGCTATGCTGAACCTTATTAAGTGTTGGGAGGATAATATAGGTATAAGAGTGGGAAAAGATGGGGAAATTTTATTCCAAACACTCCTAAATATACTATGGCCGAATGGGATATGATGATGAAGGAATGATGTGGCCTTCTCTTAACCTTAACACTTGCCAACTACTAAGCTAAATTATGGTGACTAATCTCCCATTTACCTTCTTAAAATGACAAGTGTCCCTTACTTAAAAAGGAGGGAAAATAACTCCCAATTTAATTCATTAACCGCACGGCTTTGTTGGGAAATTGGAACATAGCTTCGGCTTTTTAACATTAATTATGTGATTAATGTTTAATTAATCACTTAATTATGCTTTATTAACTTTTAAGCATAGTACTTAATTACCAAAATTATTCCGAACGTAAACGGTACGTCGAAAATAATTTCGAGTAATCTCGGCTGAAATGACTGAAATACTTAATTCTGAAAATTAATATCGGAACTAAAAACATGATTAACATGACGGAATATCGCTGACTGAATAATTAATTCTGGACTTATTAATGAATCGGAATTAAATCTGGAAACTTATCCGGTTACTGAAATAATTAACTGAATAACTTATCGACTAATAGTCGGACTTGGAATATAACTGACTGACTAATCTGAACTTGAACATGACTATTTATTAACAAAGGCTAGCTTAAAACTGAAAGCT